CAGTGAATTCAAGCGTGGTACTGTGATAGGTTGCCACCTGTGTAATAAGTCCATCCGTGACATTTCCTTGATACTAAATATTCCACGGTCAACTGTTAGGGGTATTGAAACAAGATGAAAGCAACTGGGAACAACAGCCACGAAGCGGTAGGCCACGTAAAATGACAGAGCGGGGTCAGCGCATGCTGAAGCGCATAGTGCGCAGAAGTCTCTAACTGTCTGCAGAGTCAATAGCTACAGACCTCCAAACTTCATGTAGCCTTCAGATTAGCACAACAACATTGCATAGAGAGATTAATGGAATGGGTTTCCTTGGCAGAGTAGCTGCATCCAAGCCTTACATCACCAAGTGCAGTGCAAAGCTTCGGATGCAGTGGAGTAAAGCACGCCACCACTGGACTCTAGAGCAGTAGAGACTTGTTCTGTGGAGTGACAAATCACGCTTCTCCGTCTGACAATCCGATGGACATGTCTGGGTTTGTCAGTTGCCAGGAGAATGGTACTTTCCTGACTGCATTGTGTCAAATGTAAACTTTGGTGGAGGGGGATCAAGGTGTGGGGTTGATTTTCAGGAGTTGGGATTGGCCCCTTAGTTCCAGTGAAGGGAACTCTTAAGGCATACCAAGACATTTTCATGCACCCAACTTTGTGGGAAGAGTTTGGGGACTGCCCCTTCCTGTTCCAACGTTACTGCGCACCAGTGGACAAAGCAAGGTCCATAAAGACATGGATGAGCGAGTTTGGGGTGGAAGAACTTGACTGGGCTGCACAGAGTCCTGACCTCAACCCGATAGAACACCTTTAGAATGAGTTAAAGTGGAAACTGTGAGCCAGGCCTTCTCGTCTGACATCAGTGCCTGACCTCACAAATGCACTTCTGGAGGAATGGTCCAACATTCCCATAGACACACTCCTAAACCTTGTGGACAGCCTTCCCAGAAGAGTTGAAGCTGTTATAGCTGCAAAGGCGGGCCAACTCAATATTGAACCCTACAGACTAAGATTGGGATGCCATTTAAGTTCATGAGCGTGTAAAGGCAGGTCGACCAAAAACCTTTGGCAATATAGTGTACTTTTCACCTAGACAGAGCTGTACTTCTAGACCAGCTTTCATTCTTGGCTGTTTTTGGACAGTAATTAGTTATATTTTTTTATTTAACATGAATCTTATTATGACAGTTACATGAATTGCATTTATGTGAAACGAGGATGATTAGAATTGTTGGCTCTACACAAATAAAGTTAATGTAACTGTGTCAAATGAGGTGAGATGAAGCTTGGAGCGCTGCTCCAAGCGAGAGGACAGGTTTGATTCCACTAGTAATCAGAAGTTGGGGTGTTCAAGCTCACTCATCCAGAGATGACAAAATCTATAAACATGGCGAGTGCTGCCTCCCAACCCAACCGGAGTGTAAGTATGGATGTTAAACAGCCTCAGCCAGTTCTGCTCCATTATCCATACCCCCTGATAAGTCATGACTAAGCCCCTGGTGGGTGGGGTGAAAAGTGTAAGTGACATGGATTGCGGAGCAGCTCTGGCCGGGGCCGTTTTGCATCCATTCTTACACTCCAGTCTGGTTGGGAGTGTGGTGCTTATAGATTTTGCCACTGCTGTATCAAATCAGTTGTTCATTAAAAGTAATAAGTAGTTAAGCGTTGCTTCGGATCCCAAACACGGCACTACCTGTGTGGAGTTTGCTTGTTCTCCTTGTGCCAGCGTGGGTTTCCTCCCCGGTACTCAAGCTTCCTCCCACAGTCCAAAGACATGCTGGTATGTTAACTGACTCCTCTCTAAATTGGCCCTAGTATGTGTATGAATGTGAGTTAGGAACCTTAAATTGTACGCTCCTTGTGAGTTAGGGACTGATGTGAATGTACAATATATGTAAAGTGATGTGTAAATTGATAGTGCCTGTAATAAATAAATAAATAAATAAATAAAGTGCAAAAGTTCCAGCAACACTTTCTACGTTTATTAGGTATTAACCAAATGTACTTCCTGAGTGGAGTATTGAGGGATCTACTGCTGTCACAAGGAGTCCATTGCAGTTTTCTAGACATATTTAGGTTGTGGTAGGAAGGGTATGAGTGGATTTAAAGGAATGGTAAGTATGGGTTATGGGTAGAAGGATGCAGGGGGTAGGGATGAGAAGGACAGCTGCAGAAAAGAAAATAGGGGATGTTGGTAGGTTGTAGACAGAAAACTAGGAATGGGTGGTTATTGCAGCAGAGGGTCAGCTACCTATGTAAGGTGTCATAAATTCATCAGAGAGAACCAGTTCGGGGTGTGTGGGTTAGGAAATGAGTGATACCTCTCTGTAAATGAAAAGATAGCCAGTAGTTCTGTGTTTCCTTGAATTTTGTACCCTGGTTGTGAAGTGACTGGGTGAGATCCTCCATGAGCATGGTTTTGTCTGGAAAACCAGTGTTGGATTGCTGGTGGTGCTTTTTGTCTCCAGAGAATAGGAATACAGTCTCTGCCTGCATTGATATGATGGATCAGGAGACAATGTTTGTATTTCTTGACAGAGATTTGTTGAGGAGTAGGTGTGCTGAGGGTTCCCTAGGTTGGTAACTCTTAAGTTCATGGCTGATTTGTTTTATCTCCAATATTACAACAAATATGGACAACTCTAGAAAATAAAGTACATAGTAGGGTGCAGAATACAAATGTGCATTCAACTCCTTCTATTTTTCAAGGGAGGAGGGGGCCAACAGGTGTAGTAGTTGGGGTCCTTTTTCATCTGGACAGCAGTTTACACCCTGCTTCTTGGATTTTGCTAGAAATCAACAATTTAAGAGTAAAAAATATGAGTTGGTCCACCTATTGTGGTTTGAATGTAAGGGAAAGTAGTGTATTTGGCCTCCCTAATAGGGAACTAAACTTACTACAAAAGAATGTTGGGACCATATGGGACCCTGACTGTGTTGCTAAGCTGTGCTTATCAGATCTCGAACAGATGGAAAGAAGAAGTAGTTCCATGGTCAATATAAATATCAAAGGGTAGAATGGCCAACCCTGGTGAGTGCCATTTGTAATGTCAAAGGGATAGGGTCTCGTTTATCCTGAAAGCAGCGAATGGGAGGGAATACATGGCTTGTAGCCAGCATTTCATATGTGTGCCAAGGCCTGTATGGGCAAGGGATTCCTGAAGGTACTTTCAAATGACCCTATTAAGGCTTTTTCTGCATTCAATGATAGTAATGCTGATGGGGTTTTGGAGGAGGCAGCATGATGAATGAGATTATGTACTTCCATGGTAGTATCTCATGTCTCTTGCATATGGACAAAACCAACCTGGCCTGGGTGGATGAGACAGGGAATGTGGAGGAGAAGTCTGTTGGCTAGGATTTCGGTGAACGGTTTGAGCTCAGTATTGAGTAGTGAGGTAGGGCATTAGCGGGCACAAAGCGCCATATCTTTTCCTTCTTTTGGGACCACTGTAATGTGAATGCTGAAAGTGTCCTTCAGGATGGAGTGTCATCTATAGCAGTGGTCTCCAAACTGTGGCCCTTTGCCTACCTTTATCTGGTCCTTGAGGCACCAACAATGGGGCATAATTCCTGCCACTGACATCAACAGTGGGGCACTATTCCTTCCACTGACACCAATGTTGGAGCATAATTCCTTCCACTGACAAAAAAAAAAAGCACTATTTTACCCAACAACACCAACTATTTCACCCCTGATTTATCTTTCCCCTAATACCAGAGATCTGGCATTGTTTACTCTCACTGGGCACAGCACACCCCCCCTAAAGTTTGGAGGACAGTAAACCGGCTCTTTATTTAGAACATTTGAAGGCCCCTGATCTATAGCAAGACATTGAAAGCTTTGGTGAATTCGGATTAGCAGGTAAAAAGGAAGGTCTTAGAGATCAGGTATTGTAACCTTACATGAATCTTTGCTGTTCTTGTTTTAATAATGGCCTTTTTTAAAATCCTTGTTTCTCATAAAACAGGTTCCTTTGTGATTCATTGACCATGATGTGTGCTTTCCAAAGTCTTGTGTTTTTCCCTGTGTTATTTTTTTTTTTCTTTATCGATTTAAGAGTTGGTGTTACATTGAAATTATAGGATAAAGCTGGCCATAGACTAGTTGATTTTCAAATGAACGTTTTTTTACAAACATTAGAGTACATTAGATGTAGAGTGAATGTTATTCAAAAGTACTCCAATTTCGTTTGCTTCTAACATTCAATTTTGGAATGAATGAAGTTGATACAAAAACGTATTCACATTAGAAAAATGTTCCATCCTGTACCTTCAAGTGCCCAAAACTTTTGACAATATAGTGTATGTGAACCGGCACTTATGCTCGGTACACACTATAAGAAAATCATATGAAAATTGTCGTACAAGGACCGATCGTTCGGTAATCGGATCGTTAGTACATAGCTTTCGAGAGCCGATCACAACAATTCGTGCGACAATATTCAAAGGGACAAGCGCAAAAATTTTTCTTGTACGATACCGGATCGTACAATTTTCATTTTAATCAGTACGGTAGTCATCTGAAAATACAATACAAATACAATACAATACATGACATCACTTTCAAAATTCTTTACTTTCATAGGAGAATTTTCGTATCTTTAGTAACCTTTTCATTTTCGATGTGCGAGTAGCAGGTGAAAAAAAAAATGGGTGATTGTTCGTCCGATATTCTCATCGTGTGTACGGGGCTCTACCCCAGGTTCACACCTAAGCATTTTGCAGAAACGCACTACAGTCCATTTAACATAATTTCCTATGGGACAGGCTCACATCTCCTTTTTGGAAAGGGTCAGGAACATTTTTAAATGCAAAAAGTTGCATTTTTGGTTCTATAGACTTCAATGGAAACGCTGCAGAAAAGCATGTAGTGCGTTTTTACTGCGGTTTTTATGCGTTTTTTCCTTGTTTTTGATGCGTTTTGCATTTTAAATCTGCCTAGCAACAAGAAAAGGGAAAGCAAAACGCATCAAAAACATGGCAAAAACACATTAAAAACACATGTGCAAAAACGCACCACAAAACACACTGCAGAAACGGATCAAACACAAACTGCATAGGTGTGAACCTAGCCTTAGTCTTGTGGCCTGAATTGCCAAAGTGTAGTGTTGAGTGAGGTGCGCGTTAACCATCCAGTCATATCCCAGAGAAGTTATTCTTTGTTATTCTTTTAAATTATCCTTCACAAGAATGGATATTTGAAGCAAGCACAGGGTCGCTTCACTTTACAATTTTAGTAAATCATGTTCCTGGTATGTGCCAGGACACAGAAAAATCAAGTCTTTTTGTGATGGAGGAGGGGTTGTTTGTGCCTTAGTCCTGGGAATAGTGCCATGAATGCACTCTATTCTCCTAAATCTCTGTAAAGAACCACTACCCCTGTAAAATGGAGTATTCTGATAACAGCATATTTAATGATATTATTCACTATACAAATTAAGGTTTTTATTTCACATTCCTTTTCTACACCTATACATGCAGGCCAAGCTGTCCAGCAGAAGTGGCAATGAGGAGGGTTGAGAAGAATTCCCATGAGATAAATCACTTTTTTTTTTTTCTGGATCAGCTAAAGCAACCCTGGCAGTGTTATAGCTTGCCCAAACCCGTCACTGTCACTTTTGTTAGACAGATTGATCTTCTTGTACATGTGGGAAATAAATAGAAATAGAGGCATGTTAAAGGACAAGTTCACTCTTTATTTAAAATGGTTCTAAAATCGGGTGGTGCGGCTGCAGATTCACACAAAAATACGTGCAGCCACACCACCCACACAAAGGAATGCGGACCCGCGGGTGGGTGCCATTAATTCTAATGGCATGCTGACCGCACTGGAAATCGCAACCGTACTGGGAACCGATGTTCCTGTGCGGGCTGCGTTTTTGAAAGAATGCAGGGACTTCTTCCCTGCGAGTCCCGAGACACGGGGAGTCCATTCAAATGAATGGGCTCTCGTGCCCGCGCAAAACCGTGGCCCGCAGGAACGTGGAGATGTGAACCTAGCATTAATGCATTCTGCATTAAGGTAAAAAAAAACTCCCCACTACTTGTCCTGCTACACCCCCCTCATCGCTAAGCAGGTACCGGGCTCTGGTCAGCTCCAGCGCTCTGCTTCAGCGCTGTTTCAGTAGCAGTTCTTTTTCTTCCATGTCTCACAGGAAACACTGAGAGCAGTGGGAGCCATAGACTTCTACTGCTGTCAGCCAGACTCCTGTGAGGAGGGAGTAGGGGTGTGGCTTACTGACACTGTGGGGGAGATTTACTAAAGTTGGTGCACACAGAATCTGGTGCAGCTGTGCATAGTAACCAATCAGCTTCTACCTTCATCTTAAGCTTTGACAATAAAACCTTGAAGCTGATTGGTTACTATGCGAAGCTGCACCAGATTCTGTGTGCATCAGTATTTGTAAATCTCCCCCTGTGTGTGTATATGGACGCACACAGCCCAGCTCGGGAGTGTGCACAGGTGCCTCCTTAGTACTTTGCTTGCTCAGGAGGTACCTGGAGGAGCCGACATCACCATCAGGGGTCGCCAGAAGAGATAAGGGACCACTGCGTGAACAGAGCAGGGTAAGTAGTACCCCTTTTTTTTATTTAAAGAACAAAAAAAAAAGCCTTTAGTGCAGGGGGTGGCGAACAAGTTAGACACAAAGAGCCAAAATTTTAAACTGTGAAAGTCAGAGAGCCACACCACGCAGTGACCTGCCAAAACAGACAAACACTCACACAAAAACACATAATTAAAACCATATTATTCACCATAACACTTTCTTCCTCTTACAAAACAACAATGTGTTCATTTCAAGGTAAGTGTCCACCCTCAACACACACATCAAATGCAACTTAGCCAGAGTTAACACATCAACTACCCTGGAGGTTGCTGTGGCACCTGTCTCTCTCTCTCTCCCTTCTCTCTCTCACTCTAACACACAAGTATACAAAAAAAAATTCTGAACTAATGGACTGCAGACACAGTACAGGAGATGACCAGAGACTGCGGACAGCACAGGGATGACCAGAGACTGCGGACACAGTACAGGGATGACCAGAGACTGCGGACACAGTACAGGGATGACCAGAGACTGCGGACAGCACAGGGATGACCAGAGACTGCGGACAGCACAGGGATGACCAGAGACTGCGGACACAGTACAGGGATGACCAGAGACTGCGGACAGTACAGGGATGACCAGAGACTGCGGACAGCACAGGGATGACCAGAGACTGCGGACACAGTACAGGGATGACCAGAGACTGCGGACAGCACAGGGATGACCAGAGACTGCGGACAGTACAGGGATGACCAGAGACTGCGGACAGCACAGGGATGACCAGAGACTGCGGACAGCACAGGGATGACCAGAGACTGCGGACAGCACAGGGATGACCAGAGACTGCGGACAGTACAGATGACTGCTGACCTTTGGGGAGGTGGGGAGCGGGTACCTGAATTTGACAGGTACCCACTCTTACTTCCGCAGAGTTTTTGTTTGATCTTACCTGTTCCTCGATCCAGCCGCGCGCTGTCTTCCCGGCTTCTGTAGTGTCGGCGCTCGGCATGACAGCCGGGTGCCCAGTGCGCATGAGCGAGAAGCACTTGCGCTTTGTGATTGGTCCGGCGGCTTCTGGGATCTGTCATGTGTCCCAGGTACCGCCTTACCATTCACAAAAAGCACCGCTTCTTGCGCATGCGCACTTGGCACCCGGCTGTCATGCCCAGTGCCCACACTACAGAAGCCGGAAGACAGCGCGCCGCTGGATAGAGGAACAGGTAAAAATAAGAGAAACATGAAACTTGGCAAAGAGCCACAGTATACAAAATATGATAAGAGGCAAAGAGCCGCATTCATTTTGGCTGGGAGCCGCACGCGGCTCGAGAGCCGCGTGTTCGCCACCCCTGCTTTAGTGTAATTTTGTATTTCAATGTATTTATTAATTTATAAACAGTTTAAGAAGACAGAAGCAACAAAACACGCCCACGCAGGGGCCATCAATTGCACATAAATAAATAAAGAAAACAGTGCTCTAACACCAACAGTTAGTGTCATTTTAAGCCCCCTTTCCTAGGCCCTTAAAGCCTAACTCCGGGCAAAAAGAAAGTGTGCCTGCAATGCACAGGTTAAATGCTCATTTTGTCCAGGGGAGAGGAGAAAGCTGTAAACTCACCTGATCCTCTGCTCCACCGGCAAACGGCACTCCCCCACGATCCAGTGGTGGAGTGTTTCTGATGTTCTCACGTCCAGTGCAGGTCTATGGGCATGATGAGATGAAAACAGTCCACTGCACAGGACAGCTAGGCTGCAGAGGGGGCAGGAGCCACAAGGACCGGTCTTGTGTGGAGAGGATTGGAGGATTAGGTAAGTATATCTCCAATCTCTGTTCTTCAAATCCCTAGACAAAAACAAACAGTTGACCTGTACAGTGAGGGCACGGCCCCACTGCATGGGAAAACCTTTTTTTTTTTTTGTTCGGGGTTGGGCTTTAAAATACATTAAGCTGAACCATCCTTCCCCAAGTGCATAGTTATCTCCTCCAACAGCTTCCTGCGTCTCATAAACACAGTGCCAGGCTACCCGCCTATGTAGTAAACATCCACAGACTTAAACGAGACGTTGCTCCAGCAGTACAAGTACATACATATCAAGTCTATGGGACACAGCAGTGGCATCCATAGAATCCTGATAGAGAATTACCCAGAGATTTGGCTGGGTAGCCTTACCATTATTCTTGCATAGCAGTACAGCCTCCTCTCCTGTTTTGAAATTTCAGATTGCATTGTATACTGCGAGCTTCTCACAGTGTGCATTAGAAGTTTCAAAACTTCAGATAGAGCATGCCTCCTTTCCTGGCAGAAGGACATCCCACATCATTTAGCGCTTTCCATTCAATTTGAATGTCTATGGCCCACCCTGGCATGAAGGATCAGCATCACATATGAGTATTTCCTAGGGTGGTGTGCATGCAAATGTGGTCTTTCTAGGATTGCCCACTTCTCCAGACTGACACCCACCCAATCAGACATTTGGATATTTGAATATTTGTGTTAATATTTGTTAGGAGTTGGCAGAAAAATCCAGCATAAAAATGCTTGGTCTGGAGCCTATTTACGCATGTTTATATGTGCTTATGCAGATATGGCATTAAGGGTCAGTTCACACCATGTCCACATCTGAATCGCACAGGAACCACATGCAAAATGCACTACATTTGCGATCTACAGCAGGTGTCAATAAAACTTACTGACACCCCAAACACAGGTATGTTTGCCCGCATCAGATTGCATTGTACTTTCTTACCATGCAATCCGGTTTCAGTGCTCTTGGGCCCCGGCTCACACTGATGTCACACTGTCAGCCCGTGTGCATGAGGCCTTAATCACAGCTAATATGCTTAGGGTAGGGGTGTCAAACTGGCAGCCCTCCAGCTGTTGTGAAACTACAAGTCCCATCGTGCCTCTGCCTTTGGGAGTCATGCTTGTAACTGTCAGTCTTGCAATGCCTCTTGGGACTTGTAGTTTGGCAACAGCTGGAGGGCCGCCAGTTGGACACCCGTGGCTTAAGGGGTCAGCCAATAAATGGGTGTCAGTTGGGTCGGTTAATCTTTTGAGGCTTTTATGAACTCCATGTCTGTCCCTAGTCCTGAAGGTGAGGTGGCTTAAGGCAAAACAGTGTTACCCATGGTTCGATGGTTGGCCGGTCTATATTGTAAATGGCCTCATTTACCAGCGCGCTCTGCATTGTATATTTGTGACTTTCTACCCACCCTTCCGGGAAGTACGTAAATGTTCCCATACTGAGCGTGCTCTTTAAATTCAAACTTTGAGTACACCTATACTAGACCCATAATGATAGGAGTGGTGGCAAAGAATTGATCGTTATGCATTTGCTATAAATTCAGCTTTGTAAAAACCATAATAGAAGATGGGTGCTCTGTACACTGTGTATATATAGAACAAGATGGCTGCTGGGCTCACCCTACCATGACCATAGCTGCCTATCATGCACAGCTCATAGCAGCTTTGTAATAGAATCAATGCCAGCAGGGAAGCCTGAAGACAGTTTTTTCATGTTTAGACCTAGCCTCAGGGGTGTACTATGAGAACTTCTCTTTGAAATATTCTTTCTCAAGATTTGCTTTTTTTTTCCCATAGGAGGATAAAATGAAGAACTTTTGCAAATCCAGTACAGATGCTTCAAATATGCCTAATATTCAAGAATTTGCACTGCAGCAGAATTTTAGATAGACAGTCACCATGCACAGCTCTGATCAGAAGGCAGAAGGTGGAAGAACCACACACTGGAAGCCATCATCTATACAGAAAGGTGAAGAGCCCCATGCGTGGGGCAAAACATGTCAGAGGGTTGTAGTCAGGAGGAGCTTATGCTGAAGCCATATCTTAACCTTTCTGTATAGTGGTTGGGTTCTGGTGTGCGGCACTTCCACCTTCTCCTGCACCTACAAATGCGCTGCGGGCTGAGAGATGCGTAGAGGTATCATTCAATATGAATGGCAGCCCTGAGCATGCGATTCCTGCACCCACAGCCAGCCCACAGACTGCGGGCAAGTGTGAACCAAGTATTAAAGTGGTTCTTAAGGCTAAATGCATAAATCTAAAAAACCTTCAGTGTGCAGCACCCCCCTCAGCCACCTCTAATACTTACCTGAGCCTGATCCAGCAATATGCACAAGAGCTTCGGCTCTCCCAAGTCTCTCCCTCCTCTTTGGCTGAGACACAGCAGCGGCAGCCATTGGCTCCTGCTGCTGTCAATTAAAGCCAGTGAGGAGAGAGCAGGGGGTGGGGCTGAGCCTCGCTCGGTGTGTCTTATAGACACACAGAAGTGGCTCAGGTGTGAGCAGGTATGAGTGCCCCCAGAGCAAGCAGCTTGCTCTGGCGACACTCAGCAGGAGGAAGGAGCCAGGAGTGCTGGCAGGGGAACCTGAGAAGAGGAGGATCGGGGCTGCTCTGTGCAAAACCATTGCACAGAAAAGGTAAGTATGACATGTTTGTTATTTATACACAAAAAAAAATCTTAACCTTTAGTATCACTTAAGATTTGCTTAGAACAGTC